TCTTAGCGGTCACAGAGTAGTGCCTCGGCCGGCATGGTCGGCGTGCCTATAGGCAGATAGTTAGGACGGTATGTGTGTAGTAAGGTATGTGGGGAAGGAAAGTGACAGGCCAAACGAACCGGCGCGGCGGTCAGATTCCCGGGCTGAAGTCCACAAACCAAACCGACAATGGATATGCCTGGACTCCCGGTCGGCTACGCTTCAGTCATGCTGCAGATCCTCCCGGCATTCTACGCTGCACTGAGTTAGTCGAACGCTCGGACGCGCCGCGTGCTCAACGGTCAGAGGTCAGTGACCAATGGTCAGCGGTCAGAATAGTCAGCAATCAGTGGTCAGAGATCGGCAGTCAGCGATCAGCGCTAAACGGTCAGTGGTCGGCGCTCAACGGTCAGCGGAGGGCGGTTAGCGTCCAGCAGTCAGCGCCCCCAGCGGCCACTCAGAGCCCGACTGTCGGCGCAGCGGCGTCAACCGGTGTGTGCAGTTGTGCACTCTCAGCGGGCGGCCGAGGTCACTGCCGGCCGGCCGGTCCGCCGGTTCGACGCCGCTCCGCCCGGAGCCGGTCCGAGCCCGGCGGACCGGCCGGGAGACCGGGCCGGTCGGTCGGCACACCGACCGCGCCTAATGGCCGTCTAATAGGCGCCACGGGCCGGCCGGCCGCCCCCGAACCCGCCCTGCAACACGGCCCGCGTGACCCACAGAGGTTTTTGTCCGCGGCGCCGCCGGGCAGTTTTTGTGGGAGGGAGGTGAGAGGGCCCGCGGTGAGAATGGCCTGTGACCTGACCGGAGGCGCTGTTTGTGTTGGAGAGAGCAGCGGGTGGGAGCCGCTAATGTCGCGTGTCGTGGTGTTTGTGTCCTCCCGTCAGGTGGGGCAGACCAGCGGCGGCATCAAAATATACAATCTGAATGGTGGCACAAACCGAGGAGACAAGCGACACTAGACCAGAGCGGATCGCATCCGTTCTCACCAACCGCTGGCCACCAGGAGTAGGTATGGCATGAGACCGCGGCATGTACGCACGTATGGAAGGCATATTCCGTTTTCGAAATAAAATAGAGCATCAAATATCAATCAATAATTACAGTTCGGTACATGGATATCAGTCATTAGTGTCATGTCCATTAATTAGCGGTCAGCCGAAACAATCGGCATCTGTCGGTTACCGACCGCAGCCCTGAGGACCACCTGCCGGCAACCAGTACTGCAGAGCCTGGATCTGACATGTTAGTGACCTGGCCCCGGCCGTGCGACGGCGGGGCGGGCCGGGTGCGGTCACAGCTGAGCTGACCGTGTCCGGGGTGTTACGCCTTTCTATGTTGGCCGATAGAGGGCGGGACGCATTGTGACCCTCCCCTCCCCACCCCGGTCTGACATGTTCCCCGTTGAGTTCCCGACCATCACTGGGTTTCGTCGAGACTCATGGCCGGCGGTGGTCGTAGCGGACGTTGTGTTCGGCTTATTCCCGGCGGTTGGCGGAGCGCTCGACACGCCCGGACTAGTGCAAGGAATGCCGGGCAGTGCCGGCCCGCCGTCAGTACCGGCGCTCTCGTGTTTCGGTTCGTGCCGAGCGGCCCGTGCGGCTGTGCCCGGTCAGCCATCACGTCCATCCGACCGGCGCCACCGAATGTTCCGGCTGCTGGCAGGGCGCAGCGGCGGTCTGGAGCAGGGAACGGAACGACTCCGAGCGGCGCCAGACGTGATCTTACACCCGATCCGGCGCCCTCAGTCTACGGGAACACGTTCGCGGCGTGCCTGGTGAGTGGGTACGATTGTTACAGCTCGTGACGAGCGGCGCCGACCGCAGAGGCTCGGTCAGCAGGCCGGGTGCCGCTCGAGACACAGCGAGCTCGTGGCCCGTGCCTGCGGTCTGTGCCGCCGCTGCGGCCCGCACCTGGCGGTGACAGCTGGGCGGCCGGCAGCTGCAGGGTCGGCAGCGCCACATCCGGCACCGGCGAGGTCGGCTCGGACACGTACAGACTCCGCCAGTGTCACCGCGTGTCCGCGGCGGCCGCCCGGCCGCGACACCTGGCACCGTTTTTATCGAGAGGCCCAAATTTGTCACTAGAGCAGAGCCGGACCTGGGAACAAAGAAGGATGTAATACTGTGAAGAGTCTTGGACTTAGCCATGTACGAGTATGTCCTTTGTTCACCACTGTTGAGACGTCCCACGTTGCCCTGTGCCCTGTGGTTACAAACCCGTCTATCCAGCCGCGTTACGCTCCACCGAGCTGGTTAACCTCTGTCTCTCTACCATTTGGGCCTCACAGTTCTCTGTCGATTTACCTCGTCCCTCCTCCTCTGTGGGTCCCTCGGTCCCCGTCTGTCCGCTGCAGATAGCGGTCCGTCGGCGGCGCGTCTGCCGCATTCCTGCTGCCGTCTCCGCCCCGCTCAGCGGCCGGGACCATCCCGCAGTGGCGACAGGCGGCGTCACGGCGCACGTGAGCCCGCCAGCCGGCCCCGGCCAGCTGCAGGAAATCTGCGCCTCCGAGCGGCTCTCAGGCAATCACGCAACGGACGGACCTCAGCGACCCGGCTTCGTCTGGGCACTGCACACCATCGCCCAGTTCCCTGACCGCCCTATCCGGCTCATCTGCAGCGCGCCGGCCGCCGCATCTGACCGGTGATGTGGCCGGTGAGCTCTGTCCTTTCCGTGTATCAGCAGGTTAACTCTGCTCCATCCTTGTATCGACCGTGTGAACTCTGCTCTATCCGTGAATCAACCGTGTGAACTTCATCCCGCACGCACATCAGCCGGGTGAACTACAAACCCGTCTGTGCTCCGGTCAGATGAGCTCCACTCCCCGGCACCCAGGACCGAGTCGGGCCGGCAACCAGCCATGCCGCTCGGTCCGGTCTCAGCACGCTGGGCCCGCCGGCACTCGGCAGAGGCAGACGACCCGACTGAGAGCCAGCCGCCCAGCTGCTCAGCATGCCTGCCACGCGGTCCTACCCGTCGGCCGGCCGGCGAACCGGGCGGGCCGGCCGCTCACTGCAGCCTGCAGTCCCACCGCCGCGCCGGCTTCCGGTGGACAGAGGTCAGCGGAGGGAGGGTCGGAGGGAGGTCCGTGTCTATCTGTGGACGTTATAGGGCGGCGCGGGGACAACAGGATGGGGTGAATACGGTTCAATGGAGGGCTGTAGGAGGGTGGAGGACGTCAATTGCGACAGCCCACTCTAATACGACAGGGAAATATAACGGCACAGAGCAGACAGAACTGACAACCTGTAAGGGAAACCGATAAAGTAGGACGGCCAAGACAGGCACCGAGATTGCAAAAGAGTACAGCAGAGGATGGACAGCCAGGAGTGACGTCCTACATTCTCGCAAGCTTCTCACGGACGCTCCTTAGTGACGCTCCCGACCCCGCTCCTTAGTGACACGGCTCTCCACCGTCGCCATTGAGGCGTGCAGTGTGCGCGTACGGGAGCCGGGACCATCACTCTCCCTCTGTGGGCGCGTGGGTGGGGTAGAGGGCGGGGGGGGGGGGGGGGGTGCAGAAGGGGTGAGTGGTGTGTGACGGGGGAGGGGGAGATAGAAACTCCCCGGGGGACACCGCCGACCGGCTGGCACCCTCCCGCGGCACGTGGCGGTCCAGTCCGGCCGGCCGCCGGCGCCAGGTGTCCTCCGGGCCGGCATGGACAAAGGCCGCTGCAGAACAGCCGTCACGGCAGCACGGCAGGAGCGGCAGCCCGGCCGCTCCTGGGAGCCGCGCGCACCGACAGTCTGCCGAGCGGGCGGTCGCGGCACGCGAGGGCGGGAACATGCCACCAGATACACTGGTAGCCCAGTGTCCTGAAGGTGAGCCCAGGTGAGTTAGCAATTAGCAAACCACGTTAACCAGCCAGAATTGTCCAGCAGGTCGCCCCGTTCAGCTCTCAGCAGTCGGAGAGGACAGCCCGGGTCGGCACGCCAATGAGGCGTCACTGATGACAGGTGACGTCCGACCGGGCGGGCCAGGCCACTCAAACCACAGCCGTTTTGGGGATCGTGTCTCTCTGCAGCACACACACGGCGCGGCACCGACGGTGGTCAGCGGTCAAATGCAGAGCCACCGCTGCCGGCAGCGGGGCTGACCGCTGCCGCCGCAAACCGCAGAGCCGTGCAGCCCGCGCCGCGCCGGCCGACCGCAGACCGCAGTCTTACGCCGCGGGCTGCCCTGACGCCGGCAGTGTGACCGGGCGGCTTTAACACAGACAACGGACAAACTGACCCTGCCGATCGGGCTCCACGGCAAGCCCGAGGCAGACGGCCGTATGCGGTACACGCATCTCGTCTCAGTCACTGATGAGCGACTAGAGCCGATCGGCGGTACCCACGCCGGCCATCACCCTACAGCCTACGCCTGTTAGACACCGCCCTCACGTATACCCCCTGCTAAGAAGAAGTGCCCATTACGATGAGAGCAAGGGAACGTCACAGCACTCTCACAGATTGTTTGATATTCATGGAGAAAACCAAGACTGGCACCAGAAGACCAGACTGGCACGCGACAGGCTAAGCGAACCAGACAAGCGACCGAGATGTACCGAGATCTAGGAGTCATACACTAGCAAACATAGTTTTTGTGAATAACACTGTGATTGCAGAATGCTATCAGCCGGTTTGTCTCAGAATAACGAGGAATGTTATCAGTGGTATGCTCCGGATACTCGCTCCGTCAAGGATAATCAACGGGATCAACTGCAATGGAATGAATATAACAACTAAACTATGCGGAAAATACATCAGGATAGTTCAGATAGCATCAGGTCTATGAGAATGCCGCTCATTTTACATCATATATGTATCGTAAACCCAGTTTGTTCAGCTTCGGGAAACATGTCACAAAACCGCAAACCTAATGGCAGTGAGACAGATAATCACCTCATAACGAACGAGGAAACGAACACGTGTCAGGAATGTATGACGAGAAGATAGGCACCAACAGCGCTGGACTCGACGGAAAACACCGAGACAAAACGGCTAGACTTTCCTCTAAATCGAACATCAAAACAAACAGCTATGAAATAGACGGTATATTGAAGTCTTTGAGCACAGTATCATGCCTCGTCATCAGATCTTACCATTATTGGGGCAACAGGTGCGATAAGTAACGTGTGCGTTCGGATAAAACAGATTGGGGCACGCCCACCGCAATACTGTGTGTTATGCCAGTGGGGATGCATAACAGAGCCTTCAAGACATGCTCCGTGGAAATCACACAGAGGAATAAACGATTTGTAAGTTTCGCAACGGGACCGCTCATAGATTGAGCCATATAAAACAGCGGACGTACCCGAATACCACCTCTACACTACAATCTCAGCAGTTCGTTCGATATGAACGGCACCAGAGAGCAGCAAACCACCGGTGCTGTGGCGGATGCTGCGGACATTGTGCCACGTGCTATATGTAAAACAGTCGATCCCTGCCTAACGTCCTCCGATTCCTAATCACTGACCATCTCCAACAAAACGCATACTGTCTTCGCGCAAGAACTCGGCAATCAACGACCCCCTCCCCCTATCTCACAACACTGGCAGGTGGTCTAAAACACATACCAGGGGCCTCAATCTGCGGGGACACAACCAAGACCTCGGAAAAGGGCACCACTCAGGCCTCAGGGAATAAACCCCAGGGCGGAGGGGAAGGGGCATAACCCAGCCCATGGGAGACACCCGCAGCAGGACGGCATAAAGGTAACCAGCGCCACAGACAGCGAGATAAGGCACCAAATATTACCACGATAAACTAAGACACCGGTCAACATTGTACCGAGCTGTTAGTCGCTAAAATGTCGGCACGGGTGGACAGAATAGTGCGCACGAAACGCGCACCGATAAAATACTTGGCATAAGTTATTGGCTTCAACGGTGCAACAACTGTGCATGGAAACAGGCTAAATCTGTCATTATCTCTTGTTAAAGCACAAAGGTGGCCTATTTATCGGCGATATTTTATCACCGTAGTAAAAATAGCCGCATTGCCAAGTACTAACGAGATACAATAGGGGCCCAGCCACCCAGGTAAGAGCACTTGGGCAAATCTCTCGATCGTAGCACAATGTACGTTTGTGCTACCGGAAACAGATCTTCCATCAGATCAACAATGTAAAAGAGAGCGACGAGCGTCCGCGTCGCGCGTCGTTGTTCGATAAAATCACAGAAGTTCGGCAACGGCAGCCTCCTCGGGCTGGTGCGTGCGCCGCATTATCAAATGGAATGGCGAACTTGCATAGATCACAGTCGGTGTAGAACGGTAGGGCGGTAACCGCGGGAGGTTACCGTGTGGAAGACGAGTGTTCCGCCGTGGAGCGCTGCCCGCGGACGGTGCTGCCACCTGTCGGCGGCGTGTTCAACTGGCAGTTACGGGCTGCTGCGTCTGGTGGAGCCACCGGTCGAGGAACTGGCGTATGAGCCGACTCGTCTCGTCGGGCGCCTCCAGCATCACCATGTGTCCGGCGTTCGGTATCGACTCCAGGAACGCCCGCGGGATCGCCTGGGGGGGGGGGGGGGGTAAATACAGCCGCTCAGACTGGCACACACGGCGGGAACGAGCGCCAAAAGTCTGCCAACGGATGCCATCGATGCAATTCGCAGATACGCACAATGCACACGAAACAATCACGAGACAGGCTCTAAGCCCAACGTCAAGGCATAGTCTCTCTGAATCAATACTCAGGTTCCAATGACGCATCGAACCGCCACTGTCCATCCAATAACCAGTCTAATAACAGCCAATCTGTTCCTCTTCCTACATTGCTAAATAATCCCATTATTGAGCACCGTCCTAATATGACCCACGATACTCAGGCTCCTCATCGACCACATTGATCTCACCTTTTCCATGTCGCACATTTCGACCAGCGAGACGAACTTGTCCTTCATGCCGTGTATCAGCAGAGTGGGCAGCGTGATCTGCTTGTGGTAGCCGAGGTCTCCCTCCGGCCAGACCTGGCGAGCGGGCGGAACGGGGATGTCACGCTCATGAATGACGGGTCAGTGACACTATCACGGGTTCGTGTGATAGACACGAATCACAAATCCGTGACGGACAACCGTGTCACGAATCCCAGTCACCGCGACTGACGCTATCACGATCTAATGTGACTCACTGTTGTTACATATCGGAGATTATGTAACGGCGCACAGCCGCCCCGCTTCTAGCTGCTCGAGTTAGTGGAACAGACAGACAGGTCACAGGTAGCCTGAAAGCTGGAGCGGACGGCGGACGCTTTCCTGACCCCCCCCCCCCTCCATGGTGTGACTGAGGACGCTCACCTGACCCCGCATGGTGTGACTGGACCTGACCCCGCGTGCCTCGTAGTGTGACTGAATGCTCACCTGGCCGCGCATGGTGTGACTGAACGCTCACCTGACCCCCCATGGTTTGACTAGACGCTCACCTGACCGCGCATGGTGTGACTGAGGACGTACGAAGGCACGTCGAATCCCTTCTCCACCTCGATCAGCTTTCCCCGCGGCGTGTAGAACATCTCACGGCTGCCGGACAAGGAGAGAAACGTCAGTGGTGTGATATAGAGCTAGAACAATTTTAGATGGCACGGTGAACGCCATAACTCATCCCAGGAAACCGCTTAGATTTGCGAAACGTTGGCACTAGGCACACCATGAATTGTACAAAAAGTAGACTAAAATAATTATTGAAAACATATTGAATTAAGAAATATCGGTATTCACACTCATGATTACCCAGTTTCGAATAAGAGAGAAATACTATATAACGACTTGACGTTACACGGTTACGACGTTACAAACGCCACCCCAGCGTGTTGAGCCTGTGACTGACGTTTTGAACCCGCAGATGAGGAGCGGTTTGAGGCAGGACAGCACCCAGACGGGCAGCGAGAAGACGTCCGAGGGCGCGGCCAGCGGCGTCGGGCCGCCGCACGAGATCAGCACCAGCAGCACCACGTTCAGGTACTCGCGAGCCAGCACCGAGGCGAACGACGAGCTGAAGAGGAGGGAGGGGCAGTCAGAGGACGGCAACATGTTCTGGTACTCGCGAGCGAGCACCGAAACAAATGACGAGCTGGGTTGTAGATATTAGGGTCAGTCAGTTAGTGGGCTGGAGCGGGGCAGGCCCGGGACAGAATACAGAGCGCACATCTCGTCAACAGCCGGCTACCATTAAGATACAAAACACATTAACAGTGTATAACTGTAAAATGCAAGACCTTATATCTGACTTGACTTTGAACACAACTTTTAGAAAAATTGCATAACGCAACATACAATCAGTGACCATCAAAAATCCTCACTCAGAAACGCAACCAATAGAACTTAGCTGCCCTACGAGTACTTTTCATCATAACTACCAATAACAAACAGTCGGGTCAACTGCTGAAGGGAGTTGGACACCGCTCCCCCTTACACCAGTACCGTCCTCACTCTCCGTCCGCCGATCCCGAAAACTATCCGGTACGGAGTGGCGGACGGGGCGCGGGCCGAGCTCCCGTCGCACTCACCCGTACGAGTGTCCGATGACGACGACGCGCCGCCGGCTGGTGGCGTACTTTTTGAACACGGACCGGACGTGCTCCAGCAGCCACTGGAAGCTGTAGTGACGCGGCGAGCTGGGCGCCGAGGAGAACCCGTGGCCCAGCAGGTCCGGCGCCACGCACTCGTAACCCTGGAGGGAAATGGACGTAAGATATATGTATTTCTGGCGGAAGAACTCGGAATGTATCGCTGGTGGGTGAAGCAGATTACTCCTCCTCCAGTTGAGGAAAACTGAGACTCGAGTCTTTAAGTAACGTGAAAAAAACAACAAGCGCACAATGAAGGAATGACTGGGTAAATTAACTTGAAAAACACTACAAATATCGGCCTTCCAGCGCATAATCATAGCATAAGGAAAAGAAGAAAATATCGGCTAGGCAGATAACACATAAGCCCATGCACCAAAATAAAACGGTGAAAGAATAACATCATTAACTCATCAACTTCCAAAGCTCTCCAGTTGCGATGCAACAACTCACAGGTTTGGAAAATTATTTGATCTGCCATGGGACAACTCACCAGTTTGGAGAAGTATTTGATCTGCGAGGTCCAGACGTCGGCCGACCCACCCACGCCGTGCAGGAAGAAAAGCAGCGGAGTCTGACAGCGCGGAAAACGACACGTGGGGCGGTGAACATCAGCGGACGGAGCAGACAACCAGGGCACCGGGCGAACACAACACAGGCCACAACACAGCCGAACACAGCACATAGACCGTGCGCAAATGTAGGATCAAACACGGCGAACAGTGCAGCCACGAATCAAGTAATTTAGAAATCGTCGGAGCTGTCGCATCCCATTGGCAAAGTATGACATTGACACTGACAAAAAAAGACGGCAGAAATAAAATATCAAGGCGGGAAACGAGAGAGAGTAGGCAAGCATCAAAGCAGAAGCGGGCTGAGACGACCAAACACTATTTATGTATGTATCCTCCAAAGGCAGTCACGGGAACGGGAAAGCAACATCCAGCCTCACTCTTCCGTAGCCATTTCAAACGACGCGACATTGGACTGGGCCCAGTGGCAGGGCCCCGTGTTTCCGGTCGGCCGTTTACCTTTTGGTCGGCGGCGGTTGTTTTTGGCTGGTGTGTGTGCGGCTGCGGCTGGTGAGTCTGTGACGGCGGCGGCGGCACGGGCTGGGTGTGGGACGGCGGCGGCGTGTCGCGCTCGTCGTCCGTCTCCGTCTCGTCCGTGGTGGCGTCCGGCAGCCGCACCGCCGCCGCCGCGTCGGCCGGGTCGTCGGCGCTCGGCTCGTAGGCCGGGTTGGCGCGCCCGTCGGCGGCGTCCTCCTCTCGCTGCTCGTCGTCGGGCCGCTCGGTGAGCGGGTGCGGCGGCCCGGGCGGCGGCGCCGGGCCGCTCGAGTAGTCCACCGCCTCGTCCACCAGGTCGTCCAGCAGCTGGCGCACGGACGTCTCGGCCAGCGAGACCGGCGCGCTCATGGACGTCTTGCGCGCGCGGCCGGCCGCGTCCGCCGGACCGAACGTGTTGGTGGAGGTCTTCCGCCGCGGTGCACCACTGGCAGAGATGTGAGGACCCTGACGGGAAAAAGTCACCGTAATACAAGCAAATGCTTTGTTTAACACATGTAAGTCAGATGGATTGTGTGGAAAACGCGTAGCCAAGGCAAATGAATGTGCGTAACAGATCTCACCTGATACTTCCTGAGAATGAGAAAAACAAACAAACAAACAAACAAACAAACAAACAAACAAACAAATAAATAAACAAACAAATAATGTGGTTTAGTTGAGACACACAACAAACAAAACGTGCAGACACACGGCGTACCTGCCAGTGGTTGAACCAGAAGTCGCTGGTGGGCACGTCATTGTCCTGCTGCGCCCTCAGCGCGTCCGGCTCGTCCTGGCCGGGCACCTGGTAGGGCAGCACGTGCAGCACGCGCAGCCGGCCGCGCGGCGACACCTCCACAAACTCCTGGTTCGGAGACTTCACCGGGGACGGCGCTACTCGGTGGTTACGCCTGCGGGACCAAGAACGAAACACGACTAAGCAAAATCGACCAAACCACTCTGTTCCATAGAGATTCACCGACAATAGGTTTGCCTTGATAATCACTGGACTTATCTCAGCAGAATAAATATGCTTCTATCTCACCTGAGGCAGGGACAGCAGAGATCCACGGCCATGGTGCAGCCGCGCGACACCCGGCCGCGGGCGTTCTCCAGGCCCTCACACAGGTCATCGTACAGACTGTTTGTCTGGTGGTGGCCGCTCATCGGAGCCTGCCAGCAGGGCTACAGTCAGACCTGACCTGATACAGCCAGCAGCTGACAATATCAGGCTGCTCAAAAGGGCCTGCCAACAGAGCCATAGAGGTGCACAATTATTTATTTATTTATTTATTCGATGTCATGGAACAACAGGCGAATTGACGCCCAGTAACAGTCCATAGCAGCCATGAATCATGATGTAGTCAACTGCAGCCACCAATGGCGATGGTTCCCTACATTTGCCCATACATGGTCAATTGGTCACTGACCATATAAATATATCTCATCTGCTGCACCCTCCCTGATTTTTAAATTGTGAAAAGTTAATGTCCAGTGCAATTATTGTATGATACAAAGTGGCAGAGCATAGCTGATTCTGGGGACAGATTTTATAAATTTTATTTTAAAAAGCTATTTAGAGCATACAAAACCTTGAGATATGGTACGCTATTTTATAATCATATAACAGACAGCTAATTGTAGAAACCTACAAAAAACAATGTTCAGCCAATTCGGGCAAATGCTATAAATCTAAGCACCAGCACTAAGAACAAGTCTTCTTGCTAGAATGAGAAAACATGCAGATAATGAAGTGCATAGAAAGTGACCATGAGCTGTCAGTGAATGTGTTGCCAAAGGATTTATAAAGATGAATTAAAATACATTGATATTGGTTTGAAATGCACTTTCCTGATGTCCTTGTTAAACCCTGATGTGCTTGTTGTTATGTTTGTCATAACCATTTTGGTTATGACAAAAATAAAATCAGTTGAGTATTTTCTTGTATTACTTATTGCCTTATGTATGTTGAGTACCTATATACTTCTACAATGTTAACAACCATAACATATATGAGTAAAAATAAAAACATGTTTAAGATTTACTCTCACTCCTGTTGCTCAATACCAGCTCAATACACCCCATGGGGGTCTTTGATCAGTATCCATAAACCAAAATCAAATTCTTACCAAAGGTGAACAAACACAGACACATTCAGTCTGTTTCAGCATCACCAGTCAAAATTGTTTACTAATGACCTCTTCCAGTTTTACTGGAAATGCTCAAATCAATATGCAATCTGGAGATTTCTATTGATTGAGGTCTGGTACACAAACAAAATGATATTTTATTTTCAAAATTAAATTTGTTTACAATTTAAACAAAATGCATTTCAAAATGTATTACAATGTGATTTTATTCAGATCTGAATCCAAAAATTAACTGTCAAAAGTCCATTGTTAATTGTTTACATTTGTAATCGGATGCATGACAAAAGTGATATCAAATACATGAAGCACAAAAGTTGCACACAAAGCTTCCTATAGAAATATGATGCTCAAAAAGCATTAAATTGATCAAAATGAAGCACAAAGAACATCAAAACCTTAAAACTAATAAAACCAAGCTTTGCTGCAAGAAAATTAGGCACCAACCTAGCCTACCATATGCAATCATGTGATGCTGTAGTTAATATTGCAAAATAATAATTAATGCCTGGGGAATTATAACGCATCATATCAAGAAAAAACATGTGATATAACTTGTTCTTTTCTAGGATTTAGTCATCATACATCCAGTTCTCTAGCTCGATTTGTCATTCGGCACAATATTGATATGGTGTGGCTTCTTTTTAATTTGGAGCCTGGGGTGCAACACTGCAACAGGCAATTTTCCCCTGTTTGAGGGATGTATGACATAAAACAAATTAACTCCATGAAGCAAAGTAAGTGAAAGAAAGCATCAAATAGAAATATGAGGCTCAAAAAGCATCTGAAATCAAAATATAACGCACAAAACATCAAAGCTGCAGCACTCTTCAAAAAACGAAGTTTCGCTGCAATAGAATTACCTTAAGAAATCGGCAACGCCGTAGTTTATGTTGCAAAGTAATAATAAATGTCCAACGAGATAAAATGCATCAATATCCAGCAAAACATGCGAGAAATGACATAACCTCCTTCCGAGACCTCAAGCAAGCCTGTGTTGACTAATTACATTTGTGGATGGATCACATATGTCGCAGGAAGGCCACAAACGAGCGGGCACAGAGCTTCCAAATCCAATAAGGAACCAAGACTATAGGTAATTCCTTTACATCTGTTCTTCACGGTTACTCTTCAACATGTAAAAATGTTCAGCATCGCGCACGCTGCAAAATCATTATTTTTATGCTATTATAGTCGATAACTAAATATTCGTCGCAGGTAAATGATAAAGAGTGATGTGTGATAAGTGTGATGGTCCCATGATGTCAGAATCTAAGCCGCTGTCAATGCGTTCTAATATACACCAGCAAGTATTGAGCAGTGCATTTCGTTTTGATAGACGGTACCCACGATGATAGGCACTGCAATCATCGTGTGGAACATCGGCACTGCAAAAGAGCAACGCTAGGAAGTAAATAAAAGTGATATAGGAAGTTAGATATGCCGACTTTGCTTACCATATCCTTCGTACCTACCTACAGCTAGTGGTGCGTTGGAAGCGAGCAAGAAGTAGAACCATAAATCGAGAATCAAGAGATAATGTTGAAAATATTTGGGTTTGCAGATGCTTAACTACACAGTTGATTAGTATCTACGCTATATCGGCGCGCTCTGTCAAAGAATGAAAAATGTGAAACACAATAGATCATGCCATTCTAATTCTCAGAGTTAGGCTTCGGGATGAAAGCTTTAACACTTAGGTATGTGACTACGATATAAACTGACTCGATACAAACTCGTATAAACTGAGCCTAGTTTGCGGCAGGTGTTCACAGGAACTGCATGTTCCTGTGGGCGGCATATCACTGGCATACCCAAGGCCGTCTATGGCATACCCAGCGCCCACTCTGCCGTGGGGAGCGAGCCGCGCTCAGTCCGGCGCCGGAAAACCTGGCCGCTCGGATGAAGTGTGTGTCATGTGTGGACACGTCGGCTGATAGCTGGTCAGCCGGGCTGTTCCCGGACAGCTGCAGCTACTGTGTGGGTGTGCGGACCGACGGACGGATAGGTTTTCAGTAATGGAGCCAGCGGTGATAGCGATAGCCAGGTGCCACTAGTGGCGTCTGCGGCCGTGGTTGACTGATCGCAAACTCCTCAAACGGCGGCACCAGCGGTTCATTACGATGATTATGTAGCAATACGGAAAATACAATACCTAACCGTCGACCGTGAATGGACACAGTGATTTTTTACCCTCTACGGAAATAAATGTGCCATGTAATAGACTGCCGTATAAATGCACTCGACATACATGCCCGAGTAGGTACTTGGCGCAGTGCCATGAATGGGCCGACAAGGTTGGATCGCATCTTCAAAGCAGGACAAGACAGGACATCGTATCTTCACCTTCCGCAGTGTTTATCTGCCCCTCAGTGCACTGACTACTTGATGTGGAGTGGCGCGTCATGCTCAGCCCACTGATAACCCAACATCTTTGTCAATTCACGAACGGTCGATTGAGCATGAGGAGGTGCACAGTGACTAGCCGCTGATAGAACACCAGGAGTGGGGTAACGGCAGCGGGGTTTCTCCCGGCAGAAGAGGTCCTCAGAATGCGAGATTTGCCACCAGAACAAGTCAGAATGAGGCAGCACGTGTCTTGCCTCTGCACAAGCGTCCGCCCATCGACCAGCCTGGTCAAATCATTAGGAACTGACAGTCGACAGAGGGGCATTCCATGTCAACCGGGACAGCCAAAATCGGCCACCTCTGCGATTTTGTTCAAACTTGGTATACTTATTGGCTATTGGGTGAAACCTCTGAGGGTGAAAGGATTTTGTCATATGCCCTCGGGGTACAGAGATACAAGTCGCTAAACTTCTGCTTTTTGAGCTGAATTGGACGTGTATTGCAATCTTGAAATATCTATAGCTTCAACATTTTTGAAGCTATTAATTTCAAACAAACTGAAACGTGTACGTAAAGAGTTATGCTAGTAAAATTTGACAATTTTTACATTTTTTGGTGATTTTGAATTATTTTATCTTGAATTAATTTTTTAAAATGTAATTTGTGAAAAATGGGTACCCTTCGATTTTGCTCAAATTTAGATATTGTGTTCCACTACACGTAAGGCACACGTGCTGAGAAAATTAGAATGGGCCAACGATAACTTTGGATGTTATAGCAACAAGAAGTGCAGCGTTCACGCGCAGTGGAAGGGAGCGGATTTCGCCAACCCCACCTGTTTTTCGCTAATAACTCACACCATAATTATTATATTAATGTCAAACTTTCAGTATCTGTCCAGAATCGAATTGCAAATCCTCCCGTGCACGAAATAGGTAAATCGGTCCACAACTTGTCTAGTAATAGCGGTGTAAAGTCAAACATTCCTGCCGGAGCGGCTCGGCGGCCGGCGCCGGCCGTTGCCGCCTGAATGGTAGACTGTGCCGGCGCGGGACGGTTCCATCTTTGCACCGCGCTTCTTACCGCTGATTATGATGGATTCGTGTCAAATTTTGTGTGAAGACCTAAAAATGCACAGGCAATCTAATGTTCAAATAAATACGAAAATCAACTGGTAAAATTAAATTATTAGGGTGCAAACACAATATGTGACTATGACGTTTCCCGCGTCGGCCGATCCCCGCCTCTGCCGGCGACATCTTACTCTTAGCAAGCCACTAACTGCCAAATTTATGGTAAGATTAACTAGAGATTCTCATAACACTACAAATGTCGTATAAAGGAAAAATAGGAAAATCGGCCAGTATCTCTTAGAGCTATGGGCGTATAAACGCAAAATAGTCACAAAAGCAAATTTGATCACGTTTAACCTCATTTGATCTTGAATATATTGATCTAGGGCCATGAAATTGACACACGATAAAGTTCCCCACCGCCCCACGTACAATTCAAATTCATTTTTTATACCTTTTTTGGCTAAACCGGGCCTTTCTCCCCTAGCGCTGGGAGAGTCAGGCGTATTTTCTTTTTGCAACCAAAGAGAGGCGCTGCCCGGAGAATGCCCAATTTCATCATTAAAAACTGGCTTACGATGACCAGCTATCTTCGTGGCTTAGTAGTTAGTGTGCCGAGTGTACCCACCTCGAAATCTAAAGGTCGCTGGCTCGCAGCGGGTCAGCCTGAAGTGTTTAACACGCATTTGTTTTTTAAGTAGCATCTGGCCAGCCGGCAACTGTCGTGAGGGCTAATGTTCGTATCTAGGTAGCATTTGGCCAGTCGGCAACTGCCATGAGGGCTGTATATATTACCCGTGTTAGATTAGGTCAGGTAACGTCAGGTCAGGTTAGGTTTGCTTTGGTTTGGGGTAGAAAGAAGCATCTCCAGCAGCGCCTCTACTTGGTTGCTAAAACGAAACACGCGAGTGCCAGACATTACGAAGTCCAAAAGACAGTTACGTAGACGTCGGCCCATTCTGGATTTTTTATATGATGTAGCTGATGTATAGGAGAATAAAATATGTAAAAATCAGCAAAATCGAAGGGTACCCATTTTTCAGAAAATCAAAATTTATTTTTTGAATTTTAATTAAGTTCACTAATTAGTTAATTACGTCAATATTGCTATCCTCAAATTAAAGCCTGACCTATTCCCTCCATTTCACACTTTGTCGCGTGGTGATATGTCTATAACTTCAATAGTTATGACGCTTTAAAGATGATAATGTGCCTTGCCTGAGTCAATGTTTGATGACGTGTATCTCGGAAACGTGACGTCATGTCTTGACAAAATATGTCTCCTTTCTTTTCAGATATAGATTAGTATTTTCACAAAGTTTCGCAAAAATCGGAGGAGGTGAGGTTCAAAATGATCATTTTTTGTCCCACTTGACGTGGAATGCCCCCAGAGTAGAGAGCACACATGGGAGCCGAGGTGAAAATAAGGCGCGTTTATCGACAATGGATGGATAGAATCGATTAGGTTCGAACGGAGCAGTCAATCAAACTACACGATATCGGGGACATTCACGAAGTCCGCCAAGATGAACCTGCCCCATCTCTGAAAAAGAAGAAAATGCGTGTAAAAGCGACACATGAAGACCGCCCTGCCCCACCGGCATCCTGCGTGTGCCGGCGATAGCGGGGGAGCGCCCCGCTCCCCGCGACCCGGGTCACGTGCTCGACGGAATGACCTCACCGACGCGACCGGCCCGATAACCGTCGGAGCAAACACCCTCGCGGGAATCCAGCCGCCTGTTGAGATAACAAACTGTGACCACATAGGAGGCCGCCGACACACGGGCCACTTCATTCGTGCGTGAGACCTCGAGCAGAAAGGGTCGCTCCCCAGTCTCGAACGTCCCTCGGTGCATTCATAAGGACGAGGTCGCTTGGAGAGGAAACTTGGCGAGGGGACAGAAGGGTTGGAGTAGTTTGATTTACTTGGCTTCATCACAAGTGCATGGCCAACCGGGCTCTTCGGGTAGCAATAGCTACATCGATCTTCACAGGTATGTCAGTCACATCCACTTAGCGGTGGAGCATCACTGATCACATCAACTTTTTTCCTGATAATAGCGTGCGACTGCACATGTTTTGTAGTGGTCTATGCTGCCATCCAGAAAACCGCGAGACTGACCATGCGGTACACCGTCAATCGATTCCCACCGATTCCTACGTACCTCTATCCCGTGCTGACCGTCTCTCTCCCCCGACAGTGTGCTGGAGCCTGCCGTTCCAGCGGCCGCGCGGCTCCGGCTCCGGCTCCGGCTCCGGCTCCGGCTCCGGTCAGCGCTCGGCCATCAAGGCGCAGGCGGCGGCGGCCGGCGAGTTCCCCTGGCAGGCACAGCTGCTGAAGCGCGGTTCACACGTGTGCGGCGCCGTGATCGTCAGCGACCGGTGGCTACTGACGGCCGCCCACTGCCTGTCCGGCCTTGAGCAGCTCGACGCCTACCAGGTGAGACAGAGTTCAGAGCGAGCCGTGCGGAGGTCCCGGCTCCCGGAGACGAGCGGAGATCACAGCCTCTGGAGCTGGGCGCGACGAGCAGTCATCCAGTAGATGACTTAATACATCAGAAGGCTTTTGCTGCTCCTGTTACATCTGTGAATTCGGTTAAATAT